AAAAAAAAGAACCATATGGTCGGTTTGGTGTTCACACTTTCATTGAAAGGAGGCTTTGTCTATTCTACTTAAAAATAACTTAGCAATGACATACAAACACGTTTTTGACAGAAAAAGCCACGCGTTTTTCACTTCTACCCTGAGATCCGTGCTACTGTGCCTGCAAAACTCAAGCATGAGTCACGTCTGAGACAACTTTCAGGAATTTCAGGACTCTGTTAGCCCACTCCAAAAGCTTTGGGGCATTAAATTCATATCAACGGGGCTGGGGAAGTAGCTCAGCGGTCTAAGCGCCTGCCTGGCAAGTGCAAGGACCCGGGTTGGATCTCCGGCGCCACGTTCTGTAAGGCCCCACAACTCTGGCCGTGCTTTGCTGGCCGCCAAAACCAGGCGTGGTGGCGCATACCCATAATCCCAGCGCTGCGGAGGCTGCGACAGGAGGATCACTAGGAGTCTGAGCTGCGTAGTGAGACCCTGTGCCAAATAAATAAAGATTATTTTTACAAAATTCATATCAATAAATATGACTACTGAGGAGAAGAACAGAACCTCAAAAGAAATCTCAAAACACACTTGTGTCGAGTCTCCTAATGTTCCTGAGCCTGAGGACTGAGTCTGTGGTGCGGCTTCTGGCTAGATAGCCCTGGTTAGTCACAGTGGCGCTTTTTCAAGGGTGGCTGGATCTAGAGTGTGCAATGCTGGGATTAACGGTGTGTGTTCACTGAAGCAACTCACTGACTGGCTCAGCACCACCCTAATCCTGGTAGCCTTGAGAAAACAAAGGGGGCAGGAAGAAGCTGCTATGGCCCCTTGCCTGCTTTGCCACCTTCTGCCCATCATGGTCTGTCTTTCCTCTGAGATGTCCTGTGCCAGGCCACCCCGCCTTGGAGACAGCCAGTTATGGACTGGAACAAGCTGTGGTCTATGTAAACCTTTCCCCTTTTAACTTTGTGCATCAGGTATTTTTGTCTCAGCAATGAGAGAAAAATAACGAAGGCATTCCTCATTTCATGGTCCCTTGCTCCCTCCAGGAGCTGCGCAAACTGTCTCGAAGGTGGGGACTCTCAAGCCTATCCTGCGCTGCAGCTGGACACTTCCGAGTCAGCCTCTCCCACTCCGCGCACTCAGCGAGGCAGGAGGCCTGGGGGTCCAGCTTCCAGCCCATCTAGAACAGGCTGATTTCACCACCTCCTGTGGAGACTGAGCTACCAACTGCACCCTGAGCCTGGCCAGCTCCCACCGCCTCCGAGCTGGTCTCCCAGTCTCTCAAAATATCCACCTGGGTGGTCCTTGCCGGAAGTGACATCATTTCACCCTCCATTCAAAACCACCCAGTGATTCTACATCTAATTGGAGGAAAAGGCACAGGTCTTTCAAGGGCCTGAAAGGGTCATGGAGACACTGAAACCCTTCCCAGATCATCTTTGGAATAACTGAAACACAGCTGTTGCAAGTGTTCTTGGCAGACTGACCACAGCTGTCACCATCTCCAGAGATGGCCTCAGCTAGAAAGTCACCTCACCCAAGGTCAGGGAGTCATCCCAGGACAGCAGCCATGCTCACTGCCTAAGCCACATGGCTTTATCCAGTCCTGGACACCTCGCCTGCATAGGGACTACTGAGAAAGGCCATTTGAGGTCCAGCCTGCAGGGTGCCTGCTGAGAGGAGGCTGGGCCTGTCTCACGGCTGGATCCCTGCATCTGTTCTGCCCCCTGCACTCCTGTCCTTCAATCCCACCCCAACAGCACCACCAGCAAACAGCTGGCGCACAGCACGCCTGCTGCCCCTGCTGCAGAGCCAGCTGGCAGCTAGGCCCTCCGTGACGCCCGCTCAGGGCTCACCAACCCTTGGCTCCCACAGTAAGCCAGGAGCTCTGCTCTTTCCTAAAGAAGACAGGCAAGGCTCTGACTGGAGTTGTGCGCAGCACTGTCTCTCCTACAGCCCACTCTTCTCACCTCCTTCCCATTCTGCCCAGATGCCCCCTTCCATACAAGCAGACCCTGATGCACCAGAGGAACAAGCCAGAGAGCAGTTTTGAGAATGTGTTTCTTTGTACATTTGCATGTTTCTGGGGGTGTGTTTCCTTTTGAAGAAACCACAGTCATTCTCTAGAAAGGAGTTTGAAAAGTGTTTTAGATACATACGGCAGAGCAGGCAGGATGCAGGCTTAACCTCACAGGCCTGGGCTTGACAGCGGTGCTTGGGCTACTCAGCCTTCTTCCTCTAGCTCTGAAGCAGGGGTGATGGCATCACCTCTTTGCAGAAAGGTTGTGAGGATTGAATGGCGCTGCACAGGTAACAGGCTGAGACAAAGAGCCATGAAAGCTTGAGCGTTGCTGAGGAAGGGTCCTAAGAAAGCCCATACGCCGAGAGCTCTGCTGAGGGGATCTGCAGCATGCCTTAGGCTGGAGCCTGGAGCCCAGGAAATCAGCTTCTCTGCTAGGCTCAGCTCAGCCAGTGGTCCTATAGAGGGGACCAGTCCTCAGAAGCAATTGTCACCCGCAGGTCACAGTGAGCCCAGCCGAAGACCCAGCCCAGGAGATGCCGAATAGAGCAGCCTGGGCAGTCACATGCAAAGTCCCAGATGTTTGCTCTTTTTGCATTGATGTCAATTATTTCAGACTTTATTCTAATCTCTGAGGCTCGTGTTAAAAAAAAAAATCACATAGAATTTCAAATACCTGGGTCTATATATGTTATCAGAAGAGCTTTAAACTTTAAAACCAGCCATATGCCTGATTTTTGAGATTAGAGGCCTAAATCTTTTCATGTACTTTCAACTCAAAGTTTCTGTATTTTTTTTCCATTTCTATGAAATGAATTCACTTGATTTTAAAATAAAACAATAACTCCTCTGACACCTCAACTATTCCTACGTTGCTCACATCCATTTATCTATTGGAGTGAAACGTCCTTGTCCACAACCTCAACTGCACGTGCCTGACTGACTCCAAAGGCCGAACTGGAGCCCCAGCCCGCCCAGCAGAGGTGATGGGCCACCTACAAGGTGGCGCTACTGGAAACCACGAAAGCACAACATCTGCCACTGCTCTGCATTTGCCTTTACAGATTGATCTGGAGATCCTATGATAGTCCATTTCTTTATTTCTAAAGAGATAAATATGCAATCCTGTATTGAAGGGAATAAACAGTGTTCATTTTGGAGATGTCATTATTAAAACCATTATTTTGCAATTATACATTAAAGGAATAATTGCACCATTTTTCAATAATAATAACAGTAGTAAATGGTTCTATAAGAGGATGGAGAGAGCAGACAATGACCCCACAGTGCAACCTTGCCGGAAGTTCCTACTACTGTGTGCTTGGGAGACCTCGAATGCTGATGGAGATCGACAGCGTTACCCCTGTATTCTGCAGATGCCCTTGTTGTGTGTGGAAATATCGATGCCTAGAGTAAGGCAAATGTGGGAAACTACCTTCTATTCTCATAGTAAACGTGTGTGCATGCATGCATGAGGTGTGTGTGTGTGTGTGTGTGTGTGTGTGTGTGTGTGTGTGTGTTTCCTCCTGGGAAAGTCAGTGGTCCATCAGATTATCCAGGTTTCCTTAAGCTGATATTCTAGAAATTGCCTTAGCATTTCCAAGTTGCCGGTCTGAAGATGTTAGGCACTCCTTCGATTTTTCTTCATAGCTTTATACAATTTAATATCCAGGCTTGGGAAACTGGAGAGTTCTTCCAGGTCAAACAGCTCCTTAAATCTATCTACAAATTTGTTTTCTTTCTCCAACCTGAATTTCATAGCCCAGAGGATGATGGTAGTTTCTCTGCACAGGTGGTCAAAGGTAGCAAGGAGTTCTTCCAGGAAAGGATGAGCATAGACAACATCTGCTGCCAGGACATAGTCGAAATTATTGGAAGACCTGGGAAAGTTCTTCTCCAAAGCGACGCCCCAGGAGAGTTCTTTAACCTGAGGCATATGCTTGCACTTCATTTTAGTGTTTCGGGAAATGTTATACTGCAGGTTTCCAAGTAATTCAGGCAAATCTGTAGCAGTCACATAAGCTCCTGCAAAACAAAGTTTGGTAGAACCAGTAACCTGGAACCCTTACAGAATGAGGTCAAGCCATTGGGGTTCACTCTGTGATTCTGCACGATTGCTAGACCTAGAGAAAGACTGGTCAGCACGCATAGATCACCCTTTCACAAACATGTTAAAGCAGCTCTGTGAACACCTTAAAAAAAAAAAAAACTAGAGTTCAATCATATTTTTATACACTATTGAATTATTTTTTGTTTGCCCTGTCTTTTACTTTGTTTCTATTTCATTATAAATGTAAATTTGTCCACCAAAAAGACATCATAAAGTCTGAGATCATAGATACAGCACAAGATGTTTAAATGAGGGGTACAAACAGTTTCTTAGCTAGAAGGGAATAATAATAGTCATGTTCAGGCATAAGTTTGGCCACAATGTGTCTTACAAAATTTTGGCTTTAAAATGAGCTTTGAGCATAACAGAACCTGGAAATAAAGCTAAGAATGGCCAGTTCCGTAACCTCAGACAGGCACAGAATACGACAAGGAACAGGAAGGAAGAACTGGAAAAGAAGTATGGTTTGGCTCAGAAGAAGGTAGAACCCAATGTTAGCCACAGGTCAAGTTTCTCTGAACACTGATTGGAGAAGTTTTTTGTGTGCGTGTATGTGTGAAAGTAGTACAGTGGTAAGAAAATGTGCACATTATTGGTGGATCGTGGAAATGTGAGCCTTTGCATTCCGGGATGAGTAAATGTACAGTTTTCTACAAGTCTTTTTAACTTCCAAGATAAGGAATACATCTTGCTCAGGCTGAGTGTAAACTATCTGACTGTTGCTTTTAAGAACCTGTATCGAGAAAGGTGAACATCAGCACTTCAGAGTACTGGCTACACACACTCTCGTCTTGATGTTTGTTGCAAGTCAAACAAACTCACTGAAGGAGAGATCAATTCTTTGTAATAAAAGAAATGACTTGCCAAGACACAAATTCTGCTCCTGGATCAGAAGCCTTTCAGCATAAATCAATAGTACCTCTGGCCCTACCCACATTAAGTGGAACGGTGACCCTGGAAAGCAGGATCAGGTCAGAGAAATTAAATATATATATATATATATATGAAGACTTCAAAGGTCCCCCATCTCTTCAGTGCTTAGAAAGTAGTAATTGCTAAAACTTGAACTCTTCTCAAGAGTTTAGAGTGCCAGGTGTGCACTTCTGAAAATGAAAGAAATCAAGAGCCATTTGGGTAGTGCCCATCAGAGAAGGCAGCTAAGTTAAGGCACTGAAAGAGATAAAACCAAGAAAGGCAGAGCTGAAGCAGGACCCAGCACACAGAGATGATTGCAGGGCCAGTGGGAAAAGGTGCAGGGAGAGAAGTAGGGGCTGTAAAATAAGAACGGGGAAGAACTGCAAAAATAAATCCAAGAATAAGCATCTAAAAATAAAAGCAGGCATGATTTTTATGTGATTTATAGCACTCCTCTATTTAATAGATTATGCTTTGTAAAATCATAGGACTTTAAAATTCAAAAGTAACCTATAGTTACCTATAAACATTAAATTCATGCTAAAAATCTAAAGCACTCACCTCAAAATCAGTATCAATAGACTATCAAACCCTAGTATTAACCTAGGCATGCTGGCACAGGCCCGTAATCCCAGCACTTGGGCAGCTGAGGTGAGAGGATCACTCCACGAGTTTGAGGGTAGCCTGGGCTACATAAGCAAGTTCAAGGCCAGCCTGGGTCACACACTGAGACCCTGTCTCAAAGAAAAAGAGAAATAGCTACGTCTAGCACTTCACACATCTCCTCTCCCAACCAGGATACTTTAGTACAGCTCCCAGTTCTCCACATAAGGCCTGTGACCTAGCATTCTATGGGAATAACTGATACAAATAACAGCACATTCTGGAAAGATACTGGCAGAGCGATTTTAATGCTTGCAGAATTTCTTAATAGAACTTCGAATCATCAAGGAGCTACCAATGAGCCTGAGTCGTAGCACTTCGGATGGTGAAAGTAACGGACGTTATGTGACCATGAACTTCTCCAATCTCACTCACTCCAACACACCTACTTACCGAGTAAACTTGCCACAATGGAAAGCAGCCCAGTCCCAGCTCCAATTTCAATCACATTTTTGTCCACCATATTATATTGCTTTGCATTTGTTTCCAGGAAATGGCACAGAACAAGGGCCTAGGGAGATATAAATTTTAAAAGTTTGTGTTTGGCAGAAAGTAACAGAAAGCAAAATCAAGCCCCATAAAGTAAATATAACGCATCTGAGCAAGAGCGTCAGTTTGAGGGTTCACACACATGACTGCAAGAAGTTACTGTCAGAAGCACATCCTCAGCTGGCTTTCCAGCGTTGTTGGGAGGAAGGAGAACTAACTCAAAATGCAGAATTCAGTTGCTTAAGTTTGACCATCTTTAAGGGAAATAAGTTCTAATAACACCAGTCATTCCCAAGTAGCATGTGAGTTTGAGGAAGGTGGTAAAGGCGGATCTGCCACCTTTAAGGACTAGTTTGTAAATGAGCAGGGCTTTTAGGAATATTCTGCAGATGAGACTCATGCAGATGTTATACTAATTTCAATGCAAATGGCTCCTGTAAAATGGGAGATAAAATGTTCACTTTTCTAGACTCTCATAGTCATTAAAAAAACAGAAATGGTTAAAAAAAATTATACTTATACTGCCAGTTTCAATGGTCAGAGACAGCCTTAATTGGCTGATGGAATTTCCCAATAGTGTGATTTCAAACTGTGACTTCTTGAGGTCACAAAGTGAGCCGTGCAGCCTCTTTGCTTCCTCCAAGTAGAACACGACAACCAACAAGACTGACTGGAGGGGCCGGGGAGATGGCTCAGTAGGATAAGCGCTTGACTGGCAAATGCAAGGATCTGAGTTCAATCCCCAGTTCTGCAAAAAAAAAAAAAAAAAAAAAAACTGACTGGAGAATAACCACAATGAAGCAAATTTTGTACAAAATTATACCGAGGGCCAAACAACAGCACCATAGCAATCTGTGGCTTCAGCAATCCTAATCTCATGTCCAACAAAATGGAAGCCTTCCCAGGGAGTATTTGTTATCAGAGTTGGAATAAAACATCTTGACATGATCTCTGTAACCACCTGCTTGTCATCACACTCGTCTCTGGTCTCTGAAAAGAGAGAAAAGCAATGACTGTGTGAGTAAATCCACACAAGAGCCGAATCTGTTGGAACTGCAGCGTTTGTACTTGGTGACCTTGGAGCATTCACTGAGTCTAAGTGAGATAAAGCAGTAAGGCTAGCAATTTCAAAACACCTCAGAATACAAGGTAACATTTCATCTGTCCGAATGTCAACACTGTTCTGACGTTTACTAGAGTTTATAGCAGCACTGTCCATCTTTGCAGTGCTAAATAGAACACACAATAACTGATACTCTTTTTTAAGGAATTATGTTTCCAGAATCACAGATCAGATCATCTAGAGTAACAGAAAGCTCGGCGGTGGTGTGAGATCATGGCCATCTATAGGGCCAAATAGCTGAGTAACGGACCGTGCATGGTCTATTCCTTATGACACGCTTTTACTGACTACAGATATTTAAGACCGCCCTATAATAGACACTAGCATTGCTGTTATTCATTCTGATGGCCTGGTTTCAAGGGAGTTTGTGACGCCTTAACATCTGCGACATTTCACAAGGCTAATAAGCAGCCTAATGCCAGCTACTCAGGACGCTCGTGCACACAGGGCCGTGTAACATGCACTGTAATGCTTCATTTAACTGTTACCACAGCCTTGTGAGATATACATCCTTATTTTTCAATTTTATGAATAACAAAGCTAAGACTGAGACAATTATAGCAACTTGACCGACCTTGTATGACATAAATGTAAGCACCAAAAGTTGAGCTTCCTTTATGTTTATTTTGAAGTCTTCCCTATAAAGTATATAAAAAGCTGTAACTTAAAAAAAACTAATTGTCTCTAAGAATTTATGGACTAGTTATGCAAAATGTGAACAATAGAAGAACTTACATCCAATGGTGTTGGCAGACAAGAAAATGTACGTAGAGTAGCACACTGACCTATTTTGGATCATGAAACAGACAAAACAAGACTACCACATAATCAAATCGTGCATGTGTGGTGCAGGCTTAAAAATTCTATATTCAATGAGGAAAAGGGAAACACAGCGACTGAGGCTACTCAGGAATGGCTTCATAAAAGAAGTCTGTCTTCCATTTAACCTTTGATGCAGTACATGATTGTCACTGAGGGAGAAGTTACTTGTCACACCAATCCCTAAAAGCCACTGATCCTTCCAGTCTTGCTCCTGCTGTGTGAGTTAGACCAGGCTGGACTCCTGACAGCTGCTTCTCCACTCTACACTCACAAATCCAGGCTTAGGGTCCTCCAGAAGAGGAGATGGGGAGAAAGACCGACCATAAATGTAAAGAAGCAACAAAGAGATGAAAACTCTTCCCAAAAAGGACAAACAGCTTGTAATTCCAAAGATTTGTTTTCAAAATGCAAGCAAAGCAACTTTAGTTCTCTAGATACTCAATTTCGTCATATGACAAAACTGTGCAGAAGGCAGGTGTGTGTTGGGTACAGTGCTGGATGATGGGAACATGGCATCCAACCAGACACGGTCCAGACACAGAGAAGTAGAAATACATAGCCACAATTCATCTAGAGCTCAGCAGTACAGGTGATAGCTCATAGAAGCCTCATGAAGAAATACTGGATTGGACATAAAGCAGATGTTCCCAAAATATCCCCAAAACTTTAATTTGGCTTTAATTCCTACCTACAGAGTCCCTTGTACCAAGTTCATGGTCTTCCATCCAAGTAGTAACAAGGACCAACCCTGCTTAGCTTCCAGTCAGACAAGATGAGGAATATTTAGGGCCAGAGAACTTTCTAATAAGTGGCACATTCTCATTTTGCCCTGATAAACTTGTTTTTGTGGTCCCTGCGATTGAGCTAGGGTCCTTGTGCTTGTCAGGCAGGTACTTAAGCCACTGAGCTATATCCCCCATCCTCTGATAAAAACCTCTGTCCATGGTATGATTTACTGATATTAAGATATGACCACATTTCTAGAAAACAAATGTGATGGAGGCACTGAGTATTTTAGAAGAAAAATGTAATTGAAGGTATTGCCAGGCTAGGTTGAAGTGGATTGGATCTGATAATAATAAGATCACATTTGGGAAAAGTTTATCGGCACAATTTACTGGGTGGCAGAGAGCTTTAGCCATGAGTCAAAAGCACAAATGACTGTTAGAAAATCTAGCACATCCCAGCTACTTTCTAGAAAGAAGGTAGCAAAGACTCTTCTATTTTGCGCTAGACAGCACACTGCTGTTTCCATGTGTCGTGGAAGAAGCTCCATTTCAGAAGGCTCCATGAAACAGAGAAATCTTGAAATGCAGCCAGGCCCAGTGAAATAGCTCAGCAGACTGAGTGCCTGCTTAAGCAAGCATAGGGACTGGGTTTCAACCCGTGGCACCACATGCCAAAGCAGCTGTGCCCCCAGGGGTGCTGAGCCAGCCACCGAGTCCAGGCATGGTGGCACATGCCTGTAATCCCAGCCCTGGGTAGGCCGAATACAGGAGGATCACTATGAGTCCAAACTGCGTAGTGAGACCCTGTATCAAATACATTAAAAAAGAAAAGAAATTCAGCCACAGGACGACAATTTGGGTATGCCCACCACAACACACCCTTGAGGGAATACAAGAGGTTTTACAACTTCAAAAGATTAGAAAATATAAAATTAGTGATGTGTATTGTGTGTGTGTGTTCTACTTAGGATCCAGAGAGAAGAACACCAACTTAGCTACAGCTTAGCATTCCACTTGTGCACTACCGCAAACTCTGACCTGCAACAAGATGCAGAGAACATAGAAATATGAAAAATTGACATTCGTCAGCAAGAGCCATCACTTCTAATGCATTTCACTTGACTGTTTAAGTGACTACGAGTATTCACATTCAGGAAGAGCTCCAAGAACCGAATAAGACTGGCAATATGTTTTATTTGAACTTTAACTTTCATTTCTCTATACGCACTTGGCATACTAAGATTGAAGGAGGGGGAGGGCATCATCAGCTGTGGAGTCCTTTAGAACGTTAATTGCTTCCCTGACCTTTAACTGGCGGTGTCCTCGTGGGCCTCCTTGCCTACTCCTTGTAAATGTAGCACTTCTTTGACAAGTCACCTAAAGTATCAGGGATTAATAGATGTTAGAGGACACCAAATCCCAGGAGCATCTCCTAAAGTCCCAGTCTTTGATATAAAAACTGTGCCAGTGAGTATTTACTGGTACAGCTGACACCTTTGACTTTGCGTGCTCTTTTGAAGCTTAGTTGGCCAGGTCAGTGCTCCATCTAACACGCAGGTGACAAATGAGTTCCTGGCTTTGGACTCTGTCTCTCTGAATAAATAGAGCTAGCCATTTCCTTTGATCATGACCACATCTTTACCTCCATAAGGAAATGAAGCTTTGAAGTCATATAGAACCATATTGTGATGAGTAAAAACTATACATTCTAAAGGATCTTCCAAGAGATTTTACGAAACAAGTAGAGCCACTACTGGTTGTGTATAGACCCTGAAATACAAGTCAGTCAATTACATATGGTAATTCAAGATCAATTATACCTCTAGAATGTTTTGTATCACACAAAATATTATCAGGTTCAAAAATTTGAATTGATAATATACTGATATTCTTACTACATCTAAGTACCATGAAAATATTGCAGACATTTGATAAAAGTAACCCTTGTGAAAATTAACATAATTTTTATGATGAAACCAAAATGGGTTGAATTTGGCTACTTAAGACAATTTGTTTAAAGAGGAATATGGTGTTTCTCAGCTCACAGTAATAAAATAGTTTCTTTTGAAGTAATCTGTAAAACTTAAGACAAAATTTTCATCACAAAGAAAAGCAGTGAAACTTTGTCTAGCTATAATACATGAGGTTTTAAAATCAAATATGCACACACACACACACACACACACAATTATTTCCATCTTAAAATACTGGCTTCTCTTTCCCAGCATGAACTTCTGCTTAAAGATTTGGAAGCAACCATTTTATATAGTAGTAATTATTTTCTTAAATCAAAAGGCATGTTTAATATTAACTTTCAGTATTAACAACAGCATTTCGAGGTTACTAGCAAGGCTCTCATCTAGAATTTAGCAGGATGTGTGCATTCTATGGACACCCCTAGAGCAGCTCTGGTGCAATAAGAGGGAGGAAGCTGTGCTCCACACACAGCCCACGACACACAGTCCACGACACACAGCCCACGACACACAGTCCACGACACACAGTCCACGACACACAGTCCATGACACACAGTCTACGAAGAACACGCTTCCTAACTTATGTGCTTCACTATCTATAGAGTATGGGATTGAATGCTGAAAATATTAATTAATTAGCAGATAGCATTTGGGTTTTAGTTAAGATTTAAAGAATAATTTCCTCCAAAACTTAGCAACATCATCATGTAATGGAACTCTAATATATATAATATGTGTATATATATACATATACATATACATATACATATATATATGTTACACACACATATATATATACATATATATAAAGGAATATCTTTTCCACATATATTGTCTCTTTTCTTTTTATTATTCAGGTCCCAGGACAATTAATGAAAACTTGGCTATGTCACACACAAACTGGATCTCAGGTTCCCTATGTAAAAACAAAATTCCTGATACCTGTACTTTTGAAGAAAAGCTCTCTACTCTGGCCTTAGCATATTATTTTCTTGATTCGATGTTTCAATATTATTCAAAAGGCTGTAAATAACGCAGCGCCAAGACCTAGACTTACAACTGTGCTCTGCGTTGGGCCTGTCCATTTTGAATGCTTCTTCATGCGAAGTCTGCACATCACCTGCTTGCAATCACACCTCTGCTGACATGGTGTAAAATCTCGCGGGTGCTCTTGTTCTCCCGAGAGCTAAGGCACTTCAAGCATGAAGTGAAAATTAGCAAGACAGCCCCATTGGGGTGGTGATTAGCTTGAGGAGAATTCAGTATGAACTGACTTCAGCACTGAACTGCAGCAAGCCTTCTAAAATAGAGGTTCTGTCTATATTCTTTTCTTTTATAACT